TTGTTTTCCCATGCTCGTTTTGTCCGCCTTCCAAAAGTTGTTGCTGCTTTACCTATCCTGGTGTTGATCTCATAATCAAGTGATGTAGTAGAGCTGATGGTAGACCTCAGGTTACAGAACTTGTCCACTGTCCCAAGTTCCTTGACATTCAGCCATATATGGCTCTGCTCTGCACTTTCTTGGGTAAGGATGACTGTTTTCTTAACACTGATGACCAAGCTAAAGACCTTGCATGCTGTTGATAGGCGGTCCATCATTGTTTGTAGGGTTGATTCACTGTGAATAACAAGAGCAGCATCATCGGCGAAGAGAAGGTCTCGTACTGTTGTTTTGTTGATCTTGGTCTTGGCATTGGGTCGAGCAAGATTGATCATCACTTCTCCAGTAGGGGAAGACATCCCCTGGTGACTCTTTAAATGCGTGTTGTAGTAAGACAACAAAATAAGTGCTAAAAAGGGTTGGTGCTAAGAAACAACCTTGCTTTACTCCGCTATTGATGTTGAAACTGTTTGATGTTGAACCGTCAAACTGAATGGTGGCCTTCATATCTTCGTGGAATGAGATGATGAACAGTAGAAATATAGGGGGATAACCAATTTTTTCAAGCACCATGTACAGTCCTGATCTATTGACTGTCTCAAAAGCCTTTGTCAGATCGACGAACGCAGTATGTAATGGCAGTTGTTGCTCCCTGCATTTTTCTTGTAGCTGGCGAATAGAAAAAATAATGTCCATTGTAGAGCGGTTTGATTTGAGACCGCATTGGCTCTCTGGTAGGACTCTTTCTGCGAGATACCTCTGTAGTTGTTGCTATCTCCTTTGTCCCCTTTGTTTTTGTAGAGTGTGGTGATTTTGGCATCGCTCATGTCATGTGGATTTTCCGCTTTCAGCCAACAAGTCGTTAGTAGCTTGTAGAGATGTGGGAGGAGGGTCTCTTTGTTCTCTTTCAGCACTTCAGCAGGTATGTTGTCATTTCCTGTTGCTTTCCTGCAAGCGAGTTCATCGATTGCAGAGGAGAGTTCTTCTTCTGTTGGTGTTGTATCAAGTTCTGACATTTTGGAGAGCTGAGGAATGGCCTCATGCAGCTGTCTATCAACATGTCGTTCCTTTGAGTATAAGTCTGAATAATATTCCACCCATCTTTCCATTTGTTTCTTCTTGCCTGTCAGCTGTTCATCTGTCGCAGACTTTAGAGGGGCCACTTTGTTTGCTGTTGGTCCAATAACAACTGTGATGTTTTCATACATTTTCCTGATATTACCTGTATCGCTGGCCTGTTGGATTTCTGAGCATAACTTGTCCCAGTACTGATTGGCACACTTTCTGGTTTCTCTTTGAAGATTGGATTTAGCGGCACGTAGTTGTTGTTTTGTACTCTCTGTTGGATTTGTGTGGTGTTCTATCAGGATCTTACGCTTTTTCTCGAGTAGTGGTGCTAGTGTTGATGCACTGGCTTCAACCCAGACCTCCTTGCAAGGTCTTTCTATTCCAAAAGTAATCGACACAGAATTATAAATTGTTGATCTCATTCTATTCCATATGTTGTCTGGGGATGAGCTATCTAGATGTTGGAGCTCTTCTTTAACATGTTCTTGAAATTTTGCCTTTAACACTGGGTCTTTGGTATTTCTTATGTTGATCTTAGGTTTCTTTTGTTTTTCAGTTCTTGGTGATTTCTTTGTGACTATCTTTGCCTTAGCTATAACTAAAAGGTGGTCTGTGTTGCAGTCTGCACTGTAGAAGGATCTTGTTTGCTTTACCATGTTGGCATCTTTCTTCCTGACGTTGAATGAAGTCGATTTGGTGCCAATGGCCTGATCTTGAATGGGACCAAGAAACCTTGTGTCAGTCCTTGCCACTGTAGAAGATGTTAGTGATGCAAAGGTTGTTATTTGTGCAGAATTCTAAGAGTCTCTGACCATTTTCGTTGATTTTTCCCAGCCCAAAAGGTCCAAGGCAGGTGACCCAAACTTTGTTTTCAGTACCTCTACTCTTGCATTGAAGTCACCCGTGAGAAACAGTTGGTCTGCTTTTGGGACGTTGTTGATTGCATCCTGAAGTTCCTCGTAAAACTGGTCTTTTTTCTCATTTTCTGTTGTTAGGGTTGGGGCGTAGGCCCTGATGAAGTGAGCATTTCCAGTTTTGGTTTCCATGTCCATGAGAGTGATACGTTCGGATATACCTTGGGGGGTGCTGATCCTGTTCAGCAATCTGTTGTGTACTGCAAAGCCCACACCATGGATTCTCCTCTCATCTTCCCCAAGACCCTTCCAGAAGAATGTGTATTTTCTTTCCCTGATGGTACCAGAGTTAGCAAGTCTTGTCTCTTGCAGGGTAGTGATGTCTACATTGAGTCGTGTGAGCTCCCTGTCTATGATTGCTGTCTTTCTGATGTCCTCTGTTTTCTCAAGGTTTGTAGTGTCCAATCCGGTTGTCATTGTTCTATCATTCCAGGTCCTCAGTTTCCACTGTTTTGCCTGGTGCTGGATTTAACGTCTGCCTTTCTGTTTTCGTCCTAGCTCCATACACCCATAGAAGCAAACAGACGTGGCGGATCAGCACCTTACTGGCTGGGGGCTGCCCAGTTTGAGACAGGCGGTAGCTGATCAGTGCGACTGAATAGTCACTCCCATCGTCAAAGGTGACCTGTGGCGACATCCTGTTTCGCCAAATAAGGATGTCTTATAACCCGTAAACTGCCACCTCCCGTGTTTTTTCCCTTGCTCGTCACAACAAGGAAGAAGTGTCCTCTCCATAATCGTATAAATGCTGTTTTAGCTGTGGCTGAGCTGTGGGTCAGATCCGCTGTATTTGCTCTTTTGCAGCGTCCTCCCAGAAATCTTGAAATCTTGACTAAGCTAAATGCCTGGGCCTGACTATATGGAGAACGTGCCTTGCCCAATTTGCACGAGCCCCCTCTCGACTTAGCTGATTTAGTCCAATACTAAACTGAAAAATACAGCGTCTCTTGTAATATTAATGGGGTTGACCACGTTTCCTGTCTCAGGGCCCAGTATGTCTTGCACTGCTGGAGGATGCGTTCCACAGTTTTACAATCACATTCACCCCAACTTCCCAAACCACAACTATCACTATCATTACCATTCCTCCTCCTCCCCCTATGAACCAACCTCATCCCCCTTCCACACACACACACACACACACACACACACACACACACACACACACACACACATGCACACACGCACAGACACCCCCACCCCCACACACACAGTCACACACACACGCGCACTCACACAAACGCACACTCATATATACACGCCGAAACCACCTTATCAGAGTTCTTTTAACCACCTGTTGACAGCAGTTTGTACAACACGAAGCACCGACGATGAACACGATGACGCCAGCAAACTGGGCAATGATGTAAATAAAAAATGGCGCAAGGATCGGGTGGGCAGAGAAATGCCTGTGGGCGAAAACAAATAAACAACATTCTAGAAACAACATGAAAAAACAAACACGATTCAAGAAGCATTCAGACGAACAAGATTCAAGAAACAATACAATAAACAATCATGTAAGAAGCAATAAGACAAAACAAACAACAATTAGGAAACAGTAAGATAAGCGAACAACTTTCAGGAAACAATAAGATATTACATTATATTAAGTGGGGAAACTAGTATCGAGTATCTCGGTCTTTCTGTAGGAACGTTGTAGCCCTCTCTGCTCGGGTTGACCCCGACTGGTGGGGTCTGAAGCCTCTCCCCAAAATGATCTAAATTGTGTAGATGGGAAAGTAGAGACAGCACACTTATTTGCTGACTGTAATATATTATGCTGAACTTGTATTCCACCCTGCAAGAGAAATAAAATGCGAAATTATTTAAATTTGACACGGAAAGTGTGTCTAAGAGGCGGGACCCCCGAACTCAACGTACCTCTCTAATAGGACCGATTATTTGCGTAAAGCGCCTATCCCAGGGACACAAAGTCGGACCGAGCTTAGGCTCCAACCTAAGAACACATCATCTCATGATTACGGGTCCGGTAGCTTAACGACTAAACAACCTACTCTAAGGTATCGAATAAAAAAAGGGGAGGGCGGGGGGTTGCACAAGTGGTCCAAAATTAATATACGGGGTGGAGGGGGGGGGGTGACACATTCAGCCTGATACCCCAGTACTAGTACGAACAAATCTGTTTTATTTCTACTTCAGTGAATAAAAGAACAAGAGATTATGAAAATTTTTTGATTTTAGTATGTTGCAGTGACAACTTTTTCCATTTAGGAACAAACCAGTTTCATTAAAAAATATAAACCAATAAACAAAAGTTTTAAAAATGTACAGAAAATTGAGGTAGCCAACCCGGTACCGACTAATACTGAGGGTAATTTATAATTTACACCAAAAAAAAAGAAGTTTCATTCAGATATCTAGATTCTAGATGTAATGTTTCACATGATCGTCGGTCGTGGCAAGCTGAAAATTAATAATATGAGGGGGGGGGGGGGGGGGGCACATTTAAACATTTTCAGTTTGGTAGGGATTAATTTGGAATTTTACCCGGGTGACGGCTTAAGCGTACTCTTATCGATTTTGGACCATCAAGGGATCTTTAACGCGCGCAACTTGCACACGGGACCTCCGAGATTTTTCGCCCTTATCTGAGAAAGACATGTGTTAGATCTTACCTACCCTAAGATCAGGAGTATGGCTGAAAGACAACAGCAGTAAGAAGGAGCTAAAGAATAGCAATAGAAAGGATGCAAAAAAAGTCAGGAGCCTAGAGGAGTGGGCAAAGAGGAGGGGGGGGAGGGGGTGAGAGGAGAAAGTGGAGACGGAAGCAGACAACAGAAAGTTGGTTAGAGAGCAGGATAGGAGGAGAAAGGAGACACTTTTGGCAAACACCGTAACCTCTAGACCACGAGAGTTCCCAATCCCTTCTTCAGTGAGGTATGGTGAATTTCTCTCGGTTCCATTATCTTTCATTTTAACGCCCACATCGACACATCCAAACATCTCAATGGACACAAAGAGACAGCTTATCACCTCAATATTCATACCAACATTATGTTATCAGTGCCAGACCTGGACCTTAAGCA